TGAAAACTCAATATATATATATATATTAATGTATAGTTATATTTTTTTTAAAAAAAAATATAGTTACTTGTGCAGCAACTTGGTATACTGAATAGTAGTAGGGGATCATCTTTCTCAGAAACTGGCACTATTCCATATTATTCCGTAACCGTTAGTCAACTGTTGGGGATCCCCTTGATGAAGCAGTAGCCAACATCATTGAGGATTTTCAAGCTGCGATCATATCTGGTACCTATGAAATTCCTCCATGCGCGGACTGGCACTATAGTGCTGCGGTCATAGGGACAGGCAAGCGACTTTTTGTCGGGTCCAGCGCCCGGAAACACAATCTATTCAGGATAATTCATGAAATTACCACAGGGATTCAGCCATGCCCCCCAGTTCCGTAATCCCCCAAAAATAGATGATTTAATGAACCCGCATGAGTGATTTGTTGGTGCTGAATAAACCGGACTGTTCATAAACCCAAACACTGTTGGGAGAGTCACTGAACTGGGGCTACAAGACCTGCAGCCCGATGTCAAGCGTCTGCAGGAAGCATATCAATCTTGTTCAAAATGACCACCTAAGGCGGAGGCTTAACATATCTTAACCAAATCCGCTGATGACCATGGTGTGTCTGAAGAAAACGCTACGTATAACTGATGGCCGTCAAACAATAGGGACACAGGATGGGCCCCCCTAGTTATAAGTTGGTTTATAGACCCCTATAACCCCCATTAACTATAGTTATATCTACCATAAACAATAATTAAGCCACTTATAAGCCAACTTAGCTATCTTCAACCATCTGGGGGCAGCCTATTCTCAAACGAATCCAACGCCGCGACTGGCTTTGACGAAGTGGATAAAAATCACGCTACTCATTGCACTGAAAGTTGTGAGAATCTACGCAAACCACCACTGTTCAATCTCAAACCCAACCAGTTCCTTGCAGTTAGATGCATACTATGTCTGAATGTGATATCCTGAATCAGCCAAATTAAGTGCCACTTTTTCGATTTCAAATCCGTGGAGGAACTCTCTCATTGGCCATTGGGATTCAACATCATCTTTCAGTAACCCCCATGTTTCACCACTGTTCTTCACCTTGAATCCAGCATTTTTAACCATGAACCACCAGGGATGTTGGGCATTGCTCGAATCCATATTGTCACTCTGTCTGCGTCTTTGTGGTCGGCTCGTCGTGTCCTCAAAGTCGTGTGCCTTGTGGGCAGAAACCGCTGCGACTCGCCTGGGTGGAGGCGGTCTATGTCTTCGTTTTCTCCGTCCCTCTGCATGCAGGAAGCGCTTGGCAGCTTGGCCTTTTGGTCGGTGGATGACTATGACCAAATCACAATTTTTATAGGTGGTATAAACATGTATCAACCGTTCCCAGATAAGTGGTTCATTATTGTTTTACCAAATTTTACCCACATTGATATCAGTTCATGGTGAACTCCTCCTTCTCCAGAATCATTGCTGATTATCCACTTAAGAACATTTTTCGCACCCCCTCGTTCAGTCCAGTCGACACTTGTTGGTCAATAGGGATTCCCGCAATGTTTTATGATCATCTCCAATATAGAAAGGAGTTGGTTTAATTACAACCCCCGAACTAATCATGAGCCAAGAAGTCATTTTTCACGCAACCACAGCCACTGCGGAATCTGCGAACAAAACAGGGACTATATCCCCATTACAGTTGCTTGCGTCACCATTTGTGATCATTATCTTTAATTTATATAACCATATATAACCTGATTTAATCACCTTGAACTCTTGTTCATTCTAGTTGAATCCCCAGACGTTTGTTGACTTTGCTGCTCAAAAATCGCAGCAAACGTTGTGAGTCCCAGGGGCCCTCCCGCATCAACGCTGTTGGCGCGCCAAGTTGCCAGCTGGTTAGCCAAAATCTCGGCCACCACCATACACTCAGCTGTCTGCGTTTGGATGCCCTGCCCGGGGGAGGCTTTGGGAACCTAGGTGAAGTTGGAAGCACCACGGAAGTGAAGTTGGTTAGTTACGGGTTGGTGCTTGACCTACCCCTCTGAAAAATATACGAGTCAATGGGTTTCGGATGACATCCCATATATGGAATTTGTTAAAATATTCCAAAACACCAACCAGCTGGTAATACTGGAACAGAAAAACTATACAGAGAGGCTTGCGACATGTATCTGGGTAAATTATAATATTTCACTAACCTGAATAGTTCGGCCATTTGGGGATGATTTCCCTGACATAAACCATGATTTCCATTGAGGGAGAACAGTGAGGTCGTTATAATTTACCCAGATGTATAGCTCAAAAACACTTAGTATATGAGTTTGCACTCAAGTAAAAGTCCAGTAAATCGACCCAGATGTTCAATGGCCTACAGGCTGGTTTGTCATCAGTTCGTGAACGCTAAGTTGGTTTGTAACTCCAATAAACTGTTGGGTTTATGGTAGATCTATCGAACTAGTTACTATGGTTTATAAACCCATCTTATAAGTATCCTGGATATGGATATCTAGGGCTTAGATATTTAACCTATCGGATATTAGTGGGTAAGCATGTAGTGGTTAGGTATTTAGTGGATTTATATTTAGGATGTCCTATGGATATTCACTGTATGTGAAGAAAATCTGGTACAAGATTATAAGACACTAAATATGTTCCTGTATTTAGGATTTCCCATGGATATTCACATTTAGTATTTATATTTCCTATGGTTATATCTAGATGGTTATATTTAGATATTCACTGTAGATATAAGAAATCCTCTGCGGTCAGCTTCCCCGTTGGACGACAGTGGCCTTGTTCACGTCAATGACCAGAGCGCACAGGTCGATGATCTGCGCGCCACCTGCGTTTCTGAGTCGTTGCCGTAGATCCAGGGGTTCGAATGGATTCATTTACTCATATGCTCCATGGTGCTGGAATATTTACCTACAAAACTGGGCAATTTTTGGGGTAAATGTAGGTAAATCTTCCATGCATGGAGCATATCGGTTAAGGTTCACCCATAAAAAATGGAATTATGATTTAATTAACCTCAATAGGGATAGAATAGGGATAGGGATATGCAACCCAACAATCTGATTGTCTGGATTCTTATAACTCAGTCGATTTGGGGTAGCCAGATTTTCAGTCGAACCGAGATAGATCCATATAAGTTCTTCAAGGATGCGGGTCAAAACCCATGGAATTCGTCAGTAGTTCTGGATGTTGCTCACTGCAACAAACATCTCTGTATATTCATTCAAAACCACTCTTCAATGGCCATGACTCACGAACCGATAAAAATTGGAGGTACCTATATAAGATATATCAGGCCTATATATATATATATATATATCAGGCCTTTGTGGGAATATCCCCACAATTCATATGGGGATGGGCCAAAACCCTGGTACCTAGTGAACCCCAAAATAGCTGGTAAATGGATGTTCATCCCACTAAAAATGTATCTATAGGTATTGACCCATACCCATATGGCCTAACATATGGTACTAACATACCGCCATAAAAGGGATCCAACGAAGATCTCCCATTGAACTCCCCTGTGATCTCCAGCTGTCCAAGTGAATCGCTTGTTGGAGGTTGATGGTTGTTGGATTTGTCGAATTTTGGTCATTTGAATGGGGAATTTCGGTCATCTACAAATGTGTTAAACATTGTTAAACCAGAAAATCAATATTTGGGGATAGAATATGATAGGATCAGAAAACTATGCAGCACGTCTGAAAACTATGGAAAGTCCAACAAGTCCCGAGAAATGATCTACACTTGCAAATTAATTGTTGGACAGACCCATACGGGGATGTTGAGCCAACTGCCAACCATGGATTGTCAGGAATTGCCCCGGCGACCAGCGACCAGCAGAGTCTCAAAGCCATAGATCGAAACCAAACAAGTACAGCTCTTGAATCTGTTGCTCAGTTCTTCAGAAACCAGGGAAATGGGTATGGAGCAAGATCAATCCCAAAAATGGAATGGTCAAGTGATGGAGCAAGCCGCGCCACCAATGATCAAATCTGTGGTCTCCTTAAAATTTGACCCATGACTCAATGACCTTATCATATAACTATCATCAATCTGGGTCTGGGTAAATTATAATATTTCACTAACCTGAATAGTTCGGCCATTTGGGGATGATTTCCCTTATTAACTATGATTCCAGTGAGGTCGCAGTGAGGTCGTTATAATTTACCTAGATCAATGTTAGCATTACCCTTCAAAACTCTAAGCTTTCGATGAACAATCCTCCATGTTCAGTCATTTATGGAACGACATAATGTTTCATCTGCCATCTAAAGAAAATGCAAATGGACATCTGACCTTCTATTTTTGAAAAAAAAAGGCCTTCACTCAGAGTACGTCGGGATAACACACCGTCATACGCACTACGACGTAACAAAATAACAAGGACATAGGACATCTTTCCCATGGGCAACTCATTGATGCTATGGTACTGACAACCCCCGGCTCTTGCTTAGTACCCATGGTTTGTTGGGGCTCGTTGTGACATCACGTTCAACACGTGTGGACCGTGTGGGTCATGTGGGTCTCCTCTTCAAATTTTTGGCCAGTTCCAAGATTTCCAAGTCCAAATCTATGGAAATTTCCAAATTTCTCCAATTTGCATGGTGATTTCACTGGTGTCGATTGGCTCATCTCCAAGGTGTTGAGTGACCAACGGCACTGGAGGGATGATGGCGAAAATCGACAGGAACTCCTTTCGATCGTTCGCCCACCTGACTGGATTGAAGGTGAACATATGTGAAAATCGACACTTTTTAGGTTAGCATCTTAAGAATCTTAAGATATTCCGTGGCTTGAAAAAGATGATATTCACATATTTCTCATAACCTGGTTGGTGGTGCAATGTGCCCATCTATAACCATCTTGAAAAGTGATGGAGTTCGTCAATGGGAAGTATCACATCCCATATATGAAATGGAAAATATAATCCAGTCATGTTTGAAACCACCAACCAGTTTACTCAGTAACATGTCTTTAACATGCCTTTCACCATCCAAATCTGCAGGTGTCATGTGTCAGCTGGACTCCCCTTCGCCACGGACACCACCAGTCGCCCCCGTCGCCACGTCGCCTATGACGGTCCGAATTAGCGAGGCATGGCCCGGACAGTCGACCAAACACCACTGGATGGCATCGTAGCCGGCTGCCTGGAGATCGGAGATCAGGGCTGACGCCAGAGACCGTTGGAAAACGTTGGAAAAACCTTGAATCATTAGGTAATTCGGTAATATATAGGTAATTAATAGTTGATTAATCGTTAGGTATATATATATATAGGTAATCTAAGCATCAAACATAGTGGTCTGCACACATCTAGTTGTAAAACATCAGGATCAAGCGATGCTGATATCATAAACCTTATTTTTGTTTTTTTATTCGCCACCAAATATTGAATTACGTTGGATTTACAAGTATCAGTCTGCCTAGAATTAGGGGTTTGTTACTGAGATGTGCATCCCAGTTAATTGAAATATAGTAAGTAGATGAAAGTGATAAATGAGAATGTAGCAAAATGCGATATGCCACTATTGCTATTTGAGTTATTAAACTGGCACCAGATAGGCAGATAGGATGTCGACGCCAGAACATGCCAGAACTCGAGAAAAGAACATGCAGTTTATGACCGATAGATTTTGAAGTTTCATATTAAGGCTTGGACTTTTTTGGGATAATTCCCAATATCATTCCAGATAAATAAAGATCCGATTCATTTGGAGGCTTGCACATCTATGTTTAGCAGTGTTTTCATATCTCACAAGCCAATATCAACATGATTATGCAATTATCGTAAATGCGTTTAAATAAGAATATGTGTACAATCATGGTTAAACACAGTTATTCATTGATATCTCTATATAATCCGAGCAAAACAAATCTACTGTTTGTTTGTGAAGGCACCGTAGATTCTATTTTCTGAAAACCTCTAGACACTCACTTGGAAGGACACACACCTCAAACTGCTGTCCATTCCTAGGTGAAGAAGGCCACTGTTGTAGAATCGATGGATCATTCAGATGGCTTTGCTGGGATTCCTTCCTGGAATTCCTGGCCTTGGGTCGAGATGGATTGTTTGATAGTCTGATAACGTTTGGTCTTGGATGATTTTCACACCTCCAATGCCGTGGATGATGTTGTTCAAACACGTCGTTTTCCTGTCAACCTGGTTCATGGTTTCTAGGTCAGTGTTGGAAAGGTTGTTGATATGGCAGTGTGTCAAAACCTTGTACCCCTGGTGAACATCAAAATAGCTGGTAAATGGATGTTCATCCCCCTAAAAATGGTATTAATAGGTATTGATCCATACCCATATCCCATGATATTCCCACTATATAGTTATTTTTTCCACCCCCATGAAATGCTTTGTGGAATCCCTATAATGTGCATGGTAAATTCGAAGGAATCCGATAGAATATCCCGATTTAAACAATGAAAAAACACACAGGAACCATGAGAAGCTTCCATGGAATACCATAAACCACAGTTTTACCCTCTAGTAATTTAACATAATTTAACATAGTGAACTGGAAAAACACCATGTATTAAAGGTAAATAAACTATTTCTATGGCCTTTTTCCAGTTCGCTATGTTACAGTACCAGAGGGTGAATCCCATGAAAACTATCATTAATCACCATTAATCACCATTAATCACCATTAATCACCATTAATCACCATTAATCACCATTAATCACCATTAATCACCATTACTGTAACTATCACTATGTTAAATTACCAGAGGGTATTTGTTTTTCCCCATGTCCATGTTACAAAACCCCATCCCTGAAGGCACGGCCGGAGAACCCGTGCGCGAAAGGTCACCTGGATGTGCTCCGGTGCATCCGTGGAGAAGGAGGAGAAACCCAGATCCAGCGTGATACCACGCTCCTGCCGTGGCTTGCGGCAATCCATGGTGCATTTCATGGGCTTACCCGGCCTGGTAAACATACAAAAAACTATTGAAAAGGGCCATAGAAATAGTTGATTTACCAATCAAAAAGGGTGATTTTCCATAGTTATGTAATTAAACGTTTACCGGAGGGTAAATGGTAACAACATGTAACAACTGCCCGTCGGAAACCATGGTTTTAAGTATCGTTTTTTGTCCCAATGAAAGTTCAAAGGTGAATGCTCCACTCCTTTCCAAAAATCAAACAGACGTTTTGGGAATTTCCCGCAAGAAACTGAAAACATACCTGGTCATTTAGCATCTAGCTACATTAGGACACTCACCATTTTTTAATAGGGAAAACATGGGAAAACCATCTACAACGGGCCATTTTCCATGGCAACGTGTTGAAGTACCGAATTGAAACCACCTGGGTCAGGCTGCATTGGTCGGCTTCGAGCATAGTTTCCAAGGTTTTTCAAAGCACATGGGAGTGTAGTATAGCACCAAGTATCACAAACATCATCATAGACTGATTTACTGGTTTATAATGTTTTATAAGCAAATCAATTCGCTTCAATTTCGGTTCTGAACCAATTCTGTCTACTATATCATCTCCAAAATTGTGCCATTGACATCCCTGCTTTCGCTGGAAGCTGATTCTTCGAGAGCTATATCCTGGTCCTTGAAGATTCTACGATCTCTTTGGACAATGTTTTGATGCTACGATCCTCAAAGAATGGTAACCATATTTGATTTCTAGTTTAGCTTTGTCAAAGAGGGGTAAACCCAAATCCATTGCTTACTCTCCAGTAGGTTAACATAGACCCTGGCAAATAGGGCTTGGAAGATTACTTTCAACTAAAAACATGTGCGACATTTTTCAGCGTCCACCTCTGAATTTACCAGAGACTAATCCTTGTGATATTCCCATGGCCAATCTTAGATATCCTGATTAAAAAAAAAAAACTTAGCTGGTTAGTAGATAATGGATGAGCATGAAAATCGGATTCAAAAAAAACTTGGAATCGAATGTAAAGAAGAATTCAAATGGGGGAATTAGATTCAGATTTAATTCCAATTGAATTTGATTTCCAGTCTTATTTAGTAGATAATCCCATTGACACCAAAAGACTAAAGGATTAAATAGGATTAAAGTACACATCCAACATTTACCTAATTCCCTATCTTAAACGGCCAAAACCTCGGGGTATGCCCCATGGTTTCCGAGTATTTTTGGTTCCTGCGATTCTCGGCTCTTGTCCATGGATGCGGTTGAGGTCACCTCAGACAGATCTTCTTTGATGATTGACACGGGGGTATATCCCATTCAACTATGTATATATATATATATACAAATAAATATACAAAAACTAGTGGAAATCCGGAAAGGGTGTCTTCAAGACATCATATCCTATTAACATGGGGATGTATGATACATGTATATATAATAATATATGTATATAATATATACAGTATATTACAGTATATATTATGGTGGGGATATATATATATATATATCCCAAAGCTGATCCGAATAACATGGGTTTATATTCCATGGGTATTGCAATAAGATGGGATATTTCTCAAATATAATCCAATGTTTAAAAAGGATACCTCAACATTCATAACCGTCAATTAGTGAGGAATATGCAATTTAAGGGGTATCATTTGTGTTTAAGGTTCATGTGTATACGTCTAAGGGGGTGAGTAGTTAGATCCAAAAAAACATTGGCTTTGATACGTCATTGATCCTGTCCCCTAATATGGAACAACCCCATTCTATGGTCCCAAATATACGTTCCAATTCCCTGCTAAACTATGGTTTGTGGGGTCTTGGGTATTGGGGGGATGGGATTGTATCAATTATGTCCCACAAATGTGGGTTTACTGTGCACAATGGGATATTAGAAACCAACAATCTGAGGTCATCAACAGCTTCAGCTTCAAAAAAAATGCTATGCCATGCTATGCCTCACGGTCAAGTTCCTTGGAAAAATCGAGATTGCGAGCGCGGCGCACATGCTGAGGCACCTGGTGCTTCGAGGACTCCATGCCTCGAGCCTCGAGGTCTTGGTGGCTGCGACTGCCCATCGACCCAACTGTATCCGAGCGGAGTGTCACACTGAGCGGTGCGGGTACGGTGCGCCTGAGCAAGCCATCGTCGTAATCACCATCGTCATCAATATATATATATATATATATATAATAATATAATATATATATATATAATTATATATATTATTATATATATATATATTATTATATATATATTATTATATATATGTAATAATATATAATAGATGAGCGATGATGAGCGCATCAGATGCCAGAAGAGCTGGTGGCATCGTGCGAGGTCGCCGCTTGGCTACCACACTCCCATCTGCATCAGAGTAGCCTTCGGTGCCGCAGGCGAGGTGCCTGACAGCGCCTGACTAACGCTGTAGAATTTCCACTTCCACTAGACAAATTTCCAAGAGTCACTTCCAAACAACTTAGCATCCACCGTCTAAACCGTCTAAAACATCACTTGCCAAGGTAAATCTTAGATACCCTGCCAAACAAACTTGTTAATATTTCATAATATTCCGATTTAGGGGCAGAGTGGAAAAGATTGTATCACCAGTACGTGTTTAATTAGAAGAATTTGCCAAGCCCTGGTCCACCACCCCAGGCCCAATGAAATTTCCAAGGTACAGTTGACAACACGCGGCCTCAGCTCACGCCGTTCAAATCACTAGTGATGAGCGCGTCCCTTTTCAAACTGAGTGCTGGGTCTAAAATGGTTAAAGTGGATATGAGTCAAAATAATTGACCAAAAGCAAAGACATTGATATCTGGTTGGTGGTATACCTACCCCTCTGAAAAATGATGGAGTTCGTCAGTTGGGGTGATGACATTCCCAATATATGGAAAAATAAAATTCATGTTCCAAACCACCAACCAGATTTATACAATGTACATCAATTGGGTATACATCCCACTACTAAATACTGGGTATACATCGAAGTGAACTATAGCCACTACTAAATACTGGGTAGCATCATCAATTTTTCTGGCTGCGTTGGTACTACGTTTTAGGCCCAAAAACGGCCCATACCGAGCCATCCCAGATGATCCCTGTGTAGGAGGGCACATATGGGTCATCATGTTGGGTGGAAAATCACAATTTTTGATGGGTAAATCCACTATTTCTATGGCCATTTTCAATAGCTTTTTGTATGTTTACCAGAGTCAGAGGGTATGTCTACAACCAGTGCCCCAAAGTGATAGCTAGCAACTTTGGGGCCAGAGCATCTCCGGTTTTCAGAAACGAGCTGCAGATTGAAGTCTTGCCGCTGTCAATGTGGCCCAAGACGCCAAGGTTTACATTCAGGGCCTTGAAACTGGAGTTCAGAGTATGCATTGAGATATAAATATAACATGATATCACCAACAAACATGTGGATTTCACCAGCAACTCTTTTAAAAACAAATGGGCAGTCAACCCCTATATATATATAATAATATCTACATGTACAATTATATATATGATGGGGGTGTTGTAAGATCTTCGGCGAATTCGGGGTTTCCAAAGAACTTGAGACTGGGCTCGAATTCGACCACCATTTGGTGAAGGATTTCGCACTCAAAACCAGGGATGAAAATATACCCAATCATACATCCACCAGTTGGGGATGGATTATACCACCCATAAAAGTGGCAACTTCGGAGATGGCTTGTTTTTTGGCCTTTCGGGTTTACCACATTATTGTATCTGCATTTTCTTGCTTTTTCCTATGTGAAATGAAAGGACCTGTCAGGTTGGAAATACCCAATCAGTATGGCTGTCAAAGTCAGGGAGCTACAATGCTGCATTGGTTCATCAAGTATTGACGAACTGGAAAGTTAAGGTCCGACAGCAGTTCTGGATTCTGGTCGCTGGAAATCTCAGACTCAACCAGCCCAAGGTAGCTTGGTATACCAACAATTTTGCAAATTGTGGTGCTGGAAGGAAACCGCCCCTGGAAGAGTGTAGCCTCTGGAAGGCCGCCACATAGTTACAGTTATGGCCATTTACCAGTTATAACTGGTTATTTCTATAGGATTATACATTCTATAAATGGGGTTATAAGTACTTATAACTGATAAATGGCCATAACTGTACCTTATTACAGTACTATTCAACAGACCTCAACAATAAAACAGTGCACCACCCCCCGCTTTAAGATGTTTTGAGTTGGATTATGTCACCCCCCCAATGGACTGTAGAATAATAGATTTTTCTAGTTCGACAGATCGAAATCTCCACCATAAACCCAAGGCTTGTTGGAGTATATTGGAGTTATGTTGTTTACCAACTTAGTAACTTATCCAAGTGAAATCAACCGTTATCAACTATAAGTCCCAATCCTGGTTTCTTAAATATATCCTTCTTGTTTTCCGAGCCGGGGCACCATTGCAACAAGTGCCCCATCCCCTGCCTTCCTCTTGGGTGCAGCCTTGGCCTTGGGCGTCTCATCTTTCCCCATGGCAGCTCCGGAAACTGCTTGGCTTCACGCTTGTCCCCGAAAGGGGATGTAAAAAACGAATAAAGAAATTCCATGATTTGGCAAACATGACGACTACAGTGGGGTAAATATGTTGCTATATATATATACTGTATATATATATATATAGTGATTGGGGGCCTTTTGCCGAATGTTATGTTTTGCGAAGATTATATACGTTTATACTTTACTAACATGATTTAAATATAAAATATCATAGTTTAAAAGAATCTGCGGCTATCACAAGGACTATCCTGGGGATGCTCTTGCGAATACAATCTGGATAATTTTCTAAGAATTCACCCACCTGAAATGTTGGGCCACTTGGGGATGATTCCCCTTCAGTACTAGTAGGGTAGTTATCATGTATTATAATTCAATATAATTCAGCCAAAATTATGGTAATTATGTAACAAAATCAAAACAACAACGATTTCCCCCTTCAAAACAGCAAGGGTTTCCCACTTGCAATTTTGTTTCATCGGTGTTGAGGGCACACTGCCAAACAGGCGCTGACATTTTGAGCCACAGATCAAAACCATAGATTGGTTGGAGGGGAATTTGAAACTGGAAACCATCAGAACCATGGATCTTACCACCAAAATGTGGAGGTTTCCTGTGTAGTTCCAAGAAGTCTCCATATAGTTTCTGAGTTTCTGTATAATTCCTTCGCAAACCAGTTCGAATATTGGCACATATCATTTCTGTACTATCCATCATACTTTCGCGATGTTTTGTGCGCACTTCAAAACGCCGTGTTTCGCGATGCTTGATGCTTCAGCTGCACAAAATTCAGAACGCCTAGGGTGGAGCCATTGGAAACAACGTGAAACAGCAAATGGATGGGTAAAAACATGTACCCTCTGGTAATTTGTTACATATAGCTATGGAAAATGGACCATTTATAGATGATTTAGCTATTAAAAGGCTGATTTTCCATAGCTATGTGTTAGTTTACCAGAGGGTAAAACAAATCATTCTGACCACTCAATAACAATTTATGCTGGTAGCTCCGTCAGACGAAAACATCTGCGCAGCTTCCAGGTGTGGCAAGTGCGTGCTAAATGGTCTGCCCCTAAAATCACACATGCATCATGTAGATCAACATGCTCATACGTAGCACCACATCATCCCCCCTCTTTTTCCCCCCATGTTCATCCTCCCAAATGAAGGATAAAAAGTGTGGTAGAATAGGTCTTGATCCATACATCTATATATATATCTAATATATGATACTCTCATCTAAACAAACATAGACCCTGAAACCTTGATATATCTGATATCGGAAAACAAACCACTGACCCGATATGTGAGTTTTCGGGGGGGTTCTCTGGGGAAACCTATCTTTTCTGAAGTAAAAACCATGGTAAAACAAGTCGCTGCAAGTCCAACAGAGGGGATCACCAGGGGACCCTGGGGATACTGGCTGGACAACTGGCTGGACAACTGGCATGAAAGATAGACCCCACAAATTGCATTTTTGTTTTACCATGTTTTACTCCACCAGCATGGGTTTTTCCAAAACTCATCATACTTGAATGAAAGACACGGGGGTTTGTCTGAAGATGTGAAGGGAAAACCATGGAAGAGCTTTCACATTTTATGGTTAGCACCTCAAAAGAATAGCCAGATCCCTGCAGCTCGACGCCTGGCAAGACTGGCAAGATCCGTCCTGCCCGTCCTGCGAGGCAACTGTGGAAGAAACAGCTGCCAGTTGCCACGCCCAAAAAATGCAATGAACGATTTTGTCTCAAAATCGGAGATATCATGATGATGAAACATCTGATAAACCTGGTTCACCAGCTGGAATTTGATCAGTGGAAAACAAAAAGACCAGTCACCAGTGGATCAATTATGATTCAATGATTCACCATGATTTTCTACATTTGAAAATGACATGATCAACTAGGCAACTAGGATTCGCCAGTGGATGTAAAGATGTGCCCTCGACTTTCAGAGAAACAACATCTCAACCATCTAGTGGGCACAACCGATTCCTAGCCTCGCCGTGTTTACCCAAAATACGCCATAGCCATCATATCCCATCACCAAGGGGCTTATGCCAACAACCAATGGCTGTTGATGCGTCTGCGTCTGTTTTGGGTACCAGTTTCACTCACTACATGTACAACAAACCTGGTAAACAATCACATCTTATTGATTTCTTAGCATTGCCAGGCATTGCCGAAAGATTGTCAGCGCGCTTTCTTACTACGATTCTTGGTGCACCATATCCATGATTCTTGTATATATATATATACTATCGGGAAGAAACTTGAAGAAAATCCAGGTAAACAAATATATTGTAAAGATATTGCTGGGCACTTGCAACCAAGACTTCTTTACATTTGGTGGGCATAATTTAAAACGTTGGTGGTTTCAACCCTCTGAAACATATTAGTCACTTGGGATGATTATTCCAAATATATGGAAAGTCATAAAATTATACAAAAATTCCATGGTTCCAGTCACCACCAACCAGTTATCAAAGAACAGGGCAAAACGAGACCGCCGTGCCGAGTTTTCCGTCACCGCCGCCGGTGCTACGAACAGGCCATGGCGTTTTCTGACGAGGGATTTGTTGAACTGATAGCCCGAGAAAAACCCGGCCTGGTAAACATACAAAAAGCGAAGTGGAAAGATGGTAAACCCATTTACATGGGTCATGACTGATGTCCCCATGGGTCACATCACCCAACCATGAATGGTATATGGTCTACTAGATGGCTACTATGGTTGGTGATGTCCTTTATATTCCCAAAATGGGACGGTTACCAAGCCCTGATTTATTTCGTGAGTTTTCCCATGAATAGCATGGGTGGATCTTTCCATAGTTCTGTAAACGTTTACCAGAGGGTAGGATGATTTCTAGGGGTAGTCTATTTTCAGACACACCCAGTGAAATCATCTGAGATCACCAGATGAAAATTCTCTGCCATTTGGCTTTGGTGATTGGACAATAGAAAGGGTACTGAATCTCACTGGTGGCACGTCATGCCTCTAGAATTTTCGATAGGAGCTGTTCAAACAAAAAGAACTGCAAAGACAAATGTATCAAGAAGAGGTGTTTTTTTACAGGCACCTCTCTTGGTTGAGCTACCTCTTGTTTGAGCCACCTTTGCAAGCTTTGTTTGCATGGCAGCATTCCTTCTCTTTGATCGATACATTATTGGCATATTGGCCTTATTGCTTTTCTGGAAGCAAGTCTTGTCTTGAATTAGTCTGCTTATGAATGGGTGATTACTGTGATAACTTGCCTGTTTTTGTCGAACCTCTTTTTTGGTGCATTTGTTTTGTCATGTTTTTTCTTTTCATCTATCAAAAGGCCATGCCTTTGTCATGTCATGTCATGTCACGCCACTGTCATGTCATGTCAATTTCAGTGTCAATGTCGATGTCATGTCATGTGTTTTTCTTGCTTCATCTCCTTGTCTCAATTCATCGCAAGAGATCTTGTCTTAGTTTATCTGATCTCATCTAATCTTGTCACGTCTCACCTTTGAAACATTTTTTTTTTTCGGAATCCCCTGTTTTATCTCCTCTTCAGCCATAGTTCACCTTAAACTGTGGGTGGGTCAAATCCGAGGCGCGTTTGAAGAAACTGTGGGTCAGTGGCTGTCGTATCTAAAATGCAAATTTGGCACAGGGATCCATTTTTACCAGAATCAAAAGGCATTCTTCCCGAGCAAAAGATTCGTGTTTGCCTTGTCCGTACCCCGAATGGAGATTAATTTCGTAGATTAACACTATGGAACAATTGATTGGTTGGAGCTAATGAGTGCCTCGCAGCAACATCATATTACATGTTGTCTTTTTTTCCCATGCTCGGACCTGTTTTGGAAACAAATCATTTGTTTGACCATAGGCTTGTTTCTTCGAAGCACGGACCTCTTACTGCAGACCACGGAATCAGAACATGATCTTCAGGATCCAGGTATGAATGGGTTAGTTGGGATCATTATTCCCAATATAATGGAACAATATGAAAAATATGAAAGTCAGTTGGGGTTACTATTCCCAATATTATGGAAAAATAAAATTCATGTTCTAAACCACCAAGCAGACCAGTCTATAGGGTCCCATTGGCCCAATGGTTTCTGCAATGGTCATCACTTCTACAAATCTCGACTCACGTTGCCACAGAAAATCTCGGGTGACCACACCGTTGTATACCAGGTGGTGGCCCCTACGTTAGATAACCCCCATCAACTGTAGATTTACCATAGATCCAACAACTGATGGCTCTTAAATCCCCAGTATGTTTTCGCCCCATGAACTGAACTGATCCCAGTTCTTGAGAGTTATTGGAGTTGTGTTCACCCACTTAGCTACAATGTGGGGCCGGTTGTAAGTTGGTTTATAAACCCATTAACTATAGTTAGAAGTATCCTAAACCATAGTTATTGGAGTTATGTTCACCAACTTAGATAGCAGCTATCGTTTGGAGGCCAAACATTGTAACGAACTGTTTTTTGTCACACCGGCTTGACATTCATCCATAATGACCTGTGAATCCACAGCTCGGTCATCTTCCGCTGGATTTCAGCTCGATTTGATGACAATTGGATTGCTGGGAGACTTTTATTTCAGCTGTATATTTGTACTGGTTGGTGGTTGACCTACCCCCTCAAAAATATGAGTTCGTCAGATTGGATCATCCCAACTATTGTGTTCCAAACCACCAACCAGTTGTATATTGCAAATGACAGACCATTTCCAGCTGTGTTTGGAAATCTCAGAAAATTAGCACACTTTTTTCCATTGTCCTTGCTTTGGAAGATGTTGAATTTACCCTCTGGTAATTTAACATAGCTATTGAAAATCACCATTTTCAATGGGAAAATCCACTATAACTGGCCATTTTCAATAGCTACGTTAAATTACCAGAGGGTATATGACTTTATAAAAAAACTCAACGCAGTGGGCTGATGGAAATTTGTGTAACAATCAGGTCACCTTCGTCAGCCGCTCTGGAGAACCAAGGATGAACTGCCATGGCCGAGCGAAAGAGTGAATTCCTACAAGTAGAATGCAATCTAGATATCAAAGGCACCAGAATTTTACCATTGCTTAATCCACTAAGATATAGAAAAATCATTCTCTAAACGCAACATGGTGAGTCAGCAAACTGATCAGTCAGTGTTGCTTTACTAAGACCAGAGTGAAAGATGCCGCGATGCCGCGATGCCCCATGTCCAGCAATACCAAACCCTTTCGGAAAAAACAACATCCAATAGAGGGTGAACTTCTTGGGTACACCCTGAAATTGGGGATGAACATCCAAGTTACCTGCGGATGGATGCGATGCTAAAAATTCTGAAGGGTTTACCACATGCCTGATGTGACGATCTGTGACGATGTGAAGAATGATTTCTTCCCAAATGCTTCTCAATGAACCCAGTCTCTATAGTCTCTAGAGAAAAGCAAACAAGCTTAATGTCAACCCCGGATTTTGCTAAACCATGGTTTATGAAAATTAGGGGGGTATTCCCCCAATAGTCATTTCATCTGATACTTTTTGATGGTATCCCCCCAATTAAACAACCGTAAACGGGGTTTATTAATCCAGGGTTGACATTATAGGATTTGGAGTTTCTTTTCCGAGCCACAGATGACCAAAATAAAAAACAACCCAGATCCGGTTATATGTTTTTTCAAATTCTGATCCATCCCCCACGTCCATCCTGGATCAATGGGACATTCCCCGATGATTTTCTCCACATGCCAATGATTTCTCATGATTTCTCATGATTTCTCCATCATTTTCCCAACATTTTTCCACCACGTTCCATCATTTTACCTTGGTTCATCCTTGGGATTTGCCTATGGAGCCGTCTCACGGCAACTTCAGGGCCGCTATGGAATGTGTTGGCAACTTGGCTCACCAATGATACGGGAAGTTGTGTCAAGTGCTAGGAATTATGGTGGGAATAACCCTACTGTGGATGGAAGAAATCCTGCACCAGTTGATAGGTGGTTTATCCCATTATTTATAGGGTTTCAACCATCCAAGGTGGTGCAGGATTTCTTCCATCCACAGTAGGGTAAACCTTTACATAGATGTAATTCATGTCCAATTTATAGATGATTTCAACGATTTAGCCAAAGAGAATGGTGATTTTCCACATCTATGTCAGTTTGCAGGATGGTATGATGTATATCCCGTGCTGAGTTTTATGTAAGACAAGATGGAGAGTTCCAACATCTGTAGATGGGAGTTTACTCAACCACAATTGAGGCTTTATACGAGCTAAAAATCTTCAACAATGATATATATATATATATACTGGTTGGTGGTTTTAACCATCTTAAAAAAATATGAGTTTGTCAATGGGTTTCGGATGACATCCCATATATGAAATGGAAAAAAAAACAAATGTTTGAAACCACCAAGCAGTATATGTGTGGGATGTGGCACGACATGGTCCAATGGTATGGCATACTGGTTATTCAAAGAGGTTCCCCAAATGGCCAAAGCTGTCACTTCTGTTTGACCTTGATACTTATGGTTATTTAACATACAAAAAGTGGAGAAATTGCCCATGAAATCAGATAATTTCTGATGATTTACCTGATTTACCTATCAAACATGATGATTTTCATAGCAATGTATTCTGAATGATCTATCAATTTAATTTCGCCCAAACTGGAACAGGATGGCTGAAACTTGGTGTAAGCCACTGACCGCCAGGTTGCATTTAGTCACTGATGGCCTGTTCCCCGGAAATCGCACACATGGGTTTGTCCAAAATACATCAAAACAGCAATTTTCTTTGGGAAACAATTGATGATAGACTTTGAAGGCACTCACAAGTCATGATAGATTATTGATGCGATTTTGGGGTTCCAATTTTTTGAGACAATCCCATATCTGTTCACCCATCTTGTTGGTCATGTCTACATTGTGCGTCACTCACGCTCTTGCGATGCTACAATTTCTGTTGCTTGCCCTGTCATTATGGATCCATGGCCAATCCTAGATACACTGCAAGAGATGATATTTGTATAGCTGACTTGCGTTTATTCTTCAAACTATAGTCATGAAGTAGATAGAATATGGAATTTCAATTAATCCTCACTAAAATTGGGAACGCTTTTGAACAGTCCACATTCTATCTACTTCCGGATGACTATATATCTATGTAATTATAAAATTATATTTATACATCATAAATAAATAAACACATATTATATATATATATACATACACACTATCGCAAACCATAAGACTATTAAACTGCTCATCCAGATGCGACTGACCCATGGCATGTTGCACAAAAAACAGACTGTGACTGTCCCGTTGTTGCGCGTTTCGCGCGCAACGCGTTGCGAGTTTCTCACTGTTTGGGGGTGAACATTGGCACCTCATGGCGGCAAAGCAATGGCGTTGTCTTTGCCACACTTAAAATTGCAATTTTATACTTATACTTATAATGGTCAAATCTACCATAACAATAATGGTAACATTATACTTATACTTATAAGTATGTTTTATATTTGTACACTTATGATAATTATAGAAATTGCAAAGCCAAATCAACAGTGACAAAATCAGTCATCATTTCTGATTCAACCCATATGGTATCCATGATCCCAAATCACCAAGAATTGCGAACATCTGTGTGGAAACATATCCACTTAGTTGTTATAATCACCAGCTGTGGTGGAGAATAAACTAATCAGGTCGGGATCAGGATTGGGTACAAAATGCAGAGATGTAACTCTTCAATTAGCGGATTCGTCATTTTTACATGTCCAACTTTAAATGAACAGCGTAGTCTCTGGCAATCAAACATGGCTGGTAACTCACCGCTAGTGATGATGATCCCGTTGGAAGCTCCATGCGTAGAGGATTTACCAGCTTGCCGGTGATTGCGTTTCAGGGTGCCTGTTTGTTTGTGGGATCTGTCACGCCGCCATGCGACCCACATAAGGAATTAATCTTTCACGGGTGCATCTATCTTATCGTGGCCAGAAAATAACCAAAAATAACCAACGTATACCAACAGCACCTACAAGTCAAGTTGACACAAAATTTCTGCAAAGAGGCCTTATTGGGTTTGTCCAAATAATGGGAAACATGATATCTACTATGAGATTTCAGGACCCTATGTTCAAACAAACCAAATGAGCTATCCATGTTGTTACTGCTTGAAGCCTCTACAAATCATGCTTGAATACCAAGATATTCAAGTAAATAAGTGCATATAACTTTTATAACTTATATAAGTTATATAACTTATGTATTCAATGGCCATTTCAGGAACCTAAATTGGAGGTACCTACAATATATAAGGCCTATATAAGGCCTATGTAAGGGAATATCCCCACAAAATATGGCCTTATATGGTACTAACGTACCTCCATTTTAGGATCCTGAAATTCACATTGATGTAATGACTGTTACTACTCTTCACGTACTCAACCATCTATAGATGATTTCCCACAGGTCCCAGTTTGATGCTGCCGAACATGAACATCATTTGATGAGGACATCATTGGCGAACCATCCAATTTCCAGGTCCCGGAATTCCCCTTTCACATGCAGGATGGGGCCCCTTAAAACTATAAGTTGGAATAAAAAAAAACCATCTAAATATAATTATAAGTATCATACTATTGGTATTATAGTTATTTGCACCAACTTAGCTAACGAACTGGGGCCCCATCCTCTAGATGATTTCTCCACATTTCCCATTGATTTGTTCTGTTAAAATAGCCGCTATCCCATCCCTTGAAATACTACGTCATTCATACAATGTGAGGCCCCCCAGTGATGTGAACGTTGGTTTAGATTCGCCCCAGTAACTATAGTTATTTGCGTACCATAAACCATAGTGAAATTGGAGTTATGTGAACCCCAACTTAGCTATCGAACGGGGGCCTCACATTGCAGCTTTCTCTACTATGGGTTATCCTCACCCCCAATAGATTATATAGTCCGTTGGGTAGTAGAAGTTCCAACTTCACCAATCAAATATCTTAACATGGCGAAAAATTGGAGATAAAAAAAAACGACATTTTTTCAAGACCAGGATGGGTCATCAGCAAATTACCATAATGCCATATTAGACTGGGGGAATCGATATCCATTAACCAACTATTTTCTTGGGTACCCTCTGGTAAACTAACATAATTAGCTCTGGAAAATCACCATTGTTAATGGGAAAATCAACTATTTCGACTGGGCCATGTTCAATAGCTTTTTGTTACAAATTACCAGAGGGTGAATCCCATTAACTATCATTAATCACCATTAATCACCATCAATCACCATCAATCACCATCAATCACCATCAATCACCATTAATCACCATTAACTATCACTATGTAACAAATTACCAGGCCGGGTAAGTTACAGTATCAGCATGAAATAGAATTGCTATGGATTGCTCCCGAACAGTTCGGTTTTCACCCATGTTCCCATCATCTTCCCAAACTGGTGACCCTGGTGCAGTGGGTCCGGACCTAGCCACCGAGCTTGTGCCCCTGGGAACGACAGGGAGAACCGGGGCGTGATAGGAATACATGTGTATGTACATATAACGTAAACAACTTATATAACTTGTAAAAGTTTATATAACTTAAATAACTTATATAACAGTTTTGTCTATAACTTATCAAATCTGATATCACCCTTTATAACTTATATATATATATATATTTGTAAATATAGCAATAAATTACATAACCTATATCACTCATAATATTGAGCATGTCTACAACATGTGTATGCAACTGTATGTACAATAAACATACACACACTATGTCACACGAAGCTTAAACAAACACAAAAAAAGGGGCTGGGCACCTAGGACAAACGTGTGTATCACTCTCAAGTGAAAAAGGTAGTGTAGGAAATAGCTGACTATTATGAGAGTATGATTGATTACCCTCTGGTAAACGTTTACATAGCTATTGAACATGGCCATAGAAATAGTTGATTTACCTATAAAAAAAAGTCATTTTCAATACCCCCCGGTAAACTAACGTAACTATGGAAAGTTCCACCATGTTTAATGGGTAAATCCACGAACTAAATGGCCATGTTCAATAGCTTTTTGTTAGAAATTACCAGAGGGTGAATCCCATTAACTATCATTAATAACCATTAATCACCATTAATAACCATCAATCACCATTAACTATCACTATGTAACAAATTACCAGGCCGGGTATATCACACGCAGAATTGGATGGCGACCTTTCCATTCTTCCAACAATCCATCGGTCCGGGGGATGATGCAATGGACAACCAAGGTAGTAATGGAGAAGGATATGCCCAATAGATCCCAATAAGTCAAAATCATAGGATACATAAATTATATATATATATATGTATGTTATATATATATGTTATATACATAATATACACTATATATATACAATATATACAATATATATATATACAATATATACATATGATTGATGATGATATATCTCGTATGGTGATGTTTGTTCCATTAATTTCTACTATCAACTGTAAATGCCCATGGCGAGCTGATTTCCCAGCTCGCCACGTTTGACACCGGAGGGTCCTCGCGTTTCATGATATCACCATTTTTTTGTTGGTGAAATCACAAGTTGTTGTATCAAAAATACCAACTGTGATACTATAGATATATGTATAGATCTATATTAATCTATACATATCCCAATTTCTCACCATTACGGCCATTATAAGTATTAAGCAGTGATACAACTGCCGTCACCAGAATTATCACCTGGTTGGTGGTTGACCTACCCCTCTGAAAAATATTAGTCACTTGGGATGATGATCCCATATATTCTGGAAAATAAAAAATGTTTGAAACCACCAATCAGCCACCATTTGTGTGTTTTTTTTTAATAACGACTGCCACCAGAATCTGCACCAAGTTCCGCACTGTTCCTTGAAACGGTTTGAAGTCCGCTGCTCGAACACTGACGCTGGGGTTCGAGACACCTCCGGTAATGGTGACCCGTGGTGACTGTTCTCGGTGATTTCCCCCTACCATGTATAGTGTATAAATATGTATAAAATCATCCTAAAATCATCCCTACCATTGTGGTTAATATACTGTTAATAATGGTTAATATTAATGGTTATTATATGGTTAATGATGGTTAATATTAATCTGGTTGGTGGTTGACCTACCCCGCTGAAAAATGATGGAGTTCGTCAGTTGGGATGATGACATTCCCAATATATGGAAAAGTCAAATTCATGTTCCAAACCACCAACCAGAATATGTATCAAAATCATCCTAAGTATGTTATCTATAAATCATCCTACCATGTGGTGTGTAGATTTAGGATGATTTAAGCAGGTTGCAGCCCTTACTTAAGGATAGTCGATCCTAATCTATGACCATCAACCCATAATCTATGACAAACTATAAAACTATGACAATCTACTGTCTGTGACTATGATAATCTATGCTAAATCAATGAAATGCCATGAAGTTGATAGTTTCCCCGCTTAGCATAGGAGCATTGCCATGAGATTGCTATAGCTGCTATAGATCTCGATCATCCACCGGCCATAGGAACACCTCAGGGCTTTCTGGGGAAGGAACACCTCGACCATCCAATCGACGAGTCCAACTGGTGCTATCTTCATCTGGATTTCAACCCCAAGTTGGGATGGGCGAAAAATCCACCGCTGTGACAGCCCCCAAAAAAACAACGATGTGGGTCACTGGGCACGAAAAATGACATGATGTGCATTCAATTTTGCCACATTTGGGTTGAAAAATATCACCAAAATCCCAGGTTTTGACCATCTTTGACCCCAGAAATGGAAGTTTCCCCTATCCCTACAATGTGAGGCCCCCCAGTGATGTTTGTTGGTTAGATTCGCAACAGTAACTAGTTCGTTATTTGCGTACCATGTTTACCATAGTTACTGGAGTTATTAGTTCACCCCAACTTAGCTGTGGATGTTCCAATTTGCTTTCCAGTTCTACTCCGAAACGAATATCTGGAAGCATCATCCCGATTCCCCAGGTGAAACCACCACAAGTTGGTTGCTAAACCCATCCGATGAATATCATGAAACCAACAGTTCACCTAAGCAGACAACCAACAAGTCGCTAAGTTAGATATACAAAATTAACAACTGCAAATCCTCATTTTTGTTGGTTCCATTTCCATGGTTTCATGAGCTAGATCTTGATTTTTGATGGTTCAATCTCTATGTTTTCACTGGATCATCGGATAAATCCCTATTTTTGATGGTTCAATCTCTATGTTTACATATTCTTACCCATGATTTTTCCTCTTTGGTCATGGCTCAGCATAGGGCCACGGACTGATGGCCCCTGGATCTATCGCGGACCTCCAGGACCAGGTCCTCCCAAGGGTCGAGCGAGGCCTGGAGCGATCACAAACGTGAGATATTGGAAAAAATGGAAAACAACGTCATGAAGAAGAAGATAGAAGCTAGTGGATGTACTTGCAAAGCAGCAAGTTTAAGATCATATGTTCAGATCATTTGACACTTCCGGTCGTAGACACTGACGTTGGACTTCGGATAGCTGGTTTATGTTTTAAAGCAGCAAGTGTCACTGAAGGTGTCTTTGTTTTGCAAACCAAAGAGCAAACAAAGAAGAAAATGCGCTCCGAAAATCATGGCCTCGTTGACAAGGAACATTACAGAGTAAGCACCACAAAGATCATCATATCGTATTCAGCATCCCTGTGCCTTTGAGGCAACATTAGCATCCGAACTCCATTTGCTTTGGAGTTTGTTTTGCCAAGGATCCTCACCCTCATCATCCTCATCCTCATCCTCATCCTCATCATCATCATCAATCAGTCAATCAATGAATGAATGAATCGAATGAATGAATGAATGAATGAATGAATGAATGAACGAATGAATGAATGAATGAATGAATGGATGGATGAATGAATGAATGAACGAATGAACAAATGAATGAATGAATTGAACGAATGAACGAATGAACGAATGAACGAATGAATGAATGCATGCATGCATGAATGAATGAACGAATGAACGAATGAACGAATGAACGAATGAATGAATGCATGCATGCATGAATGAATGAAACAATCAATGAATCAATGAATCAATCAATCAATCAATCAATGAATCAATCAATCAATCAATCAATGAATCAATGAAGATCAAGTCCCTACAATGTGGGGGCCTTCAGTTAAACGCGTTGCTTTGTAACCCCCAATGAAGATCCATCCTGTGATGTAACGCCTGGAGCTCCTGGTAGCTCTTGGTATCCTCGGATGCTCCACGTATCGTATCACAGTGGAACTTTGGAACATGGGGGATTCGACAAGAACTTACTATAATAATCAATAGTGTATGAAACGCAACTAGCTATATCTAGATGGGGTCACAAAACAACTTATAATTGAGGGGGCCCCATCCTGTACTACTTACTGGTGCTAAACGTAGGGAATCTTCGGGAATGATCCCAGTCATCACTAGTAATAATCATCCCAGCAACCCACAGCAACCCATCCATTCCCTACGTTTAGCACCAGTAAGAGAAGAAACAGATGTTTCAATTTAAGAAACTTTGATGATACATTTCAACTCACAGTTTGGAAACAAATACATGTATACATTCATCAAACTTTTGAACTTGAGTCAGTTTAACTAAAGTACAGAATTCAACTTGGATGATTTGAACATCATTAAGACGAAAGAAAAATAACTTCCAAGGGGATCCAGTCACAATCCTAGCAGTCCTATCAACCAAAACGACAAAAAAACACGTTATTACACTGAGATATCCTGGCGAGGACCCTCCTTGTAGTTCCAATCACACTTCAAAAAATAGACTGTTTGGGACATGTTTGTACTGACTGGCATCTGAAATAACGACAACAACAACAACAACCACCACCACCACACCCACAACATCCACAATACCCACAACAACCACAACAACCACAATACCCACAACAACCACAACAACCAGAGCAACCACAACAACGACAACAACCACAACAACAATGACGATCGTTGTTTATGTGCAGAACACTGATTTAAATAGATACGACTTTCGCAGGAGGTGTGATGTGCGACCGCATTCAAAGGCAAACGCCTTTGAAGTTCTGGGGTAGGAAGGCAAACCGAAGGATACAGACCTGATAGTCAGATAGACCAAACTGGGTTAGTCCAAAAACTGGAGTCGCCAATTTTTTATCAAATTTTGATCATTCTCCCCATCAAAGTTGCCATTTGGTGGCGTGCAAACATAAAATGGGGCCGTGCCATTTTGGAAGACCTGCCCCGGCACTGGGTCCAAGTTGTCCAAGCGGCCGTTCTCAAACCTGCCAGGTGCTTTCGATTGGACTCACAAGCATGTAAAATATTGTAACCATCATAATATAAAAATATAACCCATAGGATCCATGTATGGTATATATATGCTAATATTTGGGGTATATTGATGGTAAATGTTACCAAATAGCTGGGATAACAATCCATGACTGGTTGGTGGTTTCAACCCCTCTGAAAAATATGAAAGTCAATGGGAAGAATTATCCCATATCTTATGGAAAATAAAAAAAGTTTGAAACCACCAGCCAGAAAATATAATAGTGGGTAAACAAAAAAATCATCCGGTCCAAACCATATATAGTAATAAAGTACGATCATGTATAATCTACGTATTTTTCATACATACGTTTAAATCTGTGTCGAAATTGAAAACTCATATCCGACATATCCCTACTGTGCAGACACACAATTATTCAAAGAAATTGAAGGTCTGAATGAGTTGTTTGCGTTCACGTGTGAACCATTTTTTTAATCGGACGAGAAACGCTGTCTTTCTGAACAACATGTCTACATCCCACAAATCTAAGATCGAACCCAAAAATTGCAAAATCCAAAAGCAATAGGAACATCAATTTTCAAGATTTCGATGGATAGCTGATAGCAGACCTGGATTTTTTGTTTACCATTTTTGAGGTTTTTTGTCCAAAAACGGAAAGCCATATTTTTCTCCAAAAACGGGGAAAATCCCATTTTTCAGATTTCAAGGCACCGATTGTGAATTGGGCTGGTCGGATTGGCGCAGGGCTCAGCCACTGAGTTTTGAGATTTAAGTCTTGAATTTGTAATTTTGTCATACCCTCTGGTTATGACTAACATAGCCATGGTATAGATGGCCCATAGAAATAGATGGTTTACCTATTAATAGCATGGTGATTTTCCATGGCTATGTTAAATAACCAGATGGTAATTCGACATAAAATGACTAATCAGACTAATATTTGAGCCATCAAGTTTGAATAATTTATGACTAATCAAGATAGACTCAAGATAGACCATCACATTTGACTAATTTGACAAAATATGACATAATATTTTTTAGAGATGATTCCACTTACCCTACGTGTATCATATACATGGGGCTTGGTCAACCAGTGAGGTAGTCGCGAGACAATTTACCTACATGGTCTCTCTCTCTCTCTCATTGTCTTTTACTAACATGGGCTATCAACCAATAATGTCCTTTTGGTAAAAATAGAGGGGTCGGTTTGGTATACCATCTATCATCATTTACCTGTTGTTAAAGGGGTAAACCTTCAAAGCCCTCTATTTTTATCAACCAACCAATGGGAATTTGGGACATCTTTGAAATCCACAACTCAATCATCACATGAATTCCCAACATCCGACATGGCCATAACTTGGCACGCTGACTCCGAAAAGAAGCCCACGACTACAACCACCCGGCCACCATGGTCTGTTCACATGTCCAAACCGCTAGTTGCAACAGCAATACGACACACAAAATCCATCTCCAGCATGTTCCCACAGTTATGGCCATTTATCAGTTATAAGTACTAACAAAACCCCATTTATAGAATGTATAATCCCATAGAAAGAACCAGTTATAACTGGTTTTTATGGCCATAACTGCAGCATCTTCCCATTTTCCCAAGCAGAAATTCCCAGCATTTTCGCACCAGGCGGCTGGGAGACGGGCAGCACCATCTTGATGATCCTCCACGATGCCAAGCTGCTGGTGAACTCACAAAGGAATATGCACAGCAAAACATCCACCTCAACGGCGGCGTCCGGCTAAGCCCGGCGACTGCTGAACAACCATGATTAGCTATATGTGGTTGGTGGTTGATTTATACTTCAATGGTAATCTAGATTATTGATAATGGATTAAATGCTTCATCAACAGGATTATATACAGATTCATTCCCAGATGGGTACCATATATATATATATATATGACGAAACCACATGCCCAACCAAGGGCAAACGAACGGGCACCTTTTCCGCTCCTGAGCCAAGGGTCCCTGGCGATTGACCAACCTGTCAAGGCAGTGCACTCATGGCAATGTCCCAAATTGACACTGGTTATAATCTTCCAAAGTTAAAATTCGGAGATATCCATCTCTTCTCCAGTATGTTGGGGCACATATTCTGTTGCTCATCCATCGATCAGCAGTCGGGGGCGATCAGTGCCGGGAATGAACGGCGAGGAGCTGCCAGCGGATGCATATCCCTTGCTGGTCACTCGCTCATGTTCCACCAAATACTCAGCAAGATCTTTCAGCAGTCCTGTGGCAGTCTTGACGCGACGTGTGCACCACAGCTTGTACTGCAAGCACTCTGGATTCTGACTGTTGGCCAAGTGCAAGTAGCTCATGTTCTTGCCTTCGTATTTGCCGAACTGGATTCGTGTACGTCCCCACGTGGCGAAATCTGGGACACCCTCAGGAAGAGCTTTGACATTGATGCCTCGTACCATCTCATGCTGGGCCTCATAGAACTTCTCGATCTTGCCCTTCCGATTGACCAAACTAGTACCCATATTGCCTGGCAGGAAAGGTTGTTGGAGATCAGCGAGCTCTTCAGTGGCCCTGCGTTTCGATGCATCAGTCATCCCTTCGGAAGATCCGGAAACCAAAGTGAAATCAGAGCTTGGAGGACCGCTATGTATGGTCATGGCCAGTTGGTCCCACATGCCACACTCCTTTGCTTTGGAGATCATCTCTTGAAAGGCAGCGGTATCACTCTGAGTCCAAGACATGCTATGAAATGGTAAAAACACGGAGGCTCTATGTCAGCGAGGGCAAAAATCCTTGATGGTCACCGGTTGGTGACGTGCAACAGCTCTCACATCATGCTGGTGAAAAAGGTTGGTTGCCGAACGAAAAACAAAAACCAGGGTTGAAACAAATTATCGTGAAAACATTCTCCCAAGACATGCTTGCACGAGTGACAAAACTGATTCGTCATGCAGCAAAGGTGATATCATAGCTGACTCTGTGCACAAAACGTCAGCTTTCATATTCACTTTTCCAAAAACTTGAAAGCTTTTTCTTTGCAAAAACTGGTGATTGGCTGCAACAACAGTTCACTTCGAAGGAGTGGCCGCAAAGACAGGACAAACGTTTAATGCCGGTGACTGAGAGGTATCTGGATTGCTTGCAATCTAACCCTACCTATTTTCGTTTACAGTCATGCACAAACAACCCACCAAGATCCTTGACCCTATGCCAATCACTTTCGGTGACTGTGGACAAAAACTTCAAAACTTTGCCTCAGGGACTCTTGAGTCACGAGTGTTGGTTCGTTCCGATTGTCGCGCTTTTCTCAGCTCTCTCTCCGCAGCCTGGCGAGCAAGTACTGCTGTCTCCGGTGCAATTTGATAGACTCCACTGCGAACACAACTTCTCAGTAAGTCGGCTGGGTCCAACTTATCCTTGGTGAGTCCATCCGCTAACATGCGATCAGTGGGTAACCATCGAATGCTGCCTTGTAGAGTACTCAAGGATTCTCGGATTATGACCACATCGATACTTGTGCGCCTATCATCAATGGCAGTGGGTGACGAGGGGCTCACCAAATGATCATACAGTGACTTGCAATCTGTGGCCAGCAGCGGTCGTCGACGTGACAACACTGATCTGACCTGTCGCAAAGGAGTTGGACCATCCAGAGCCTCACTCACAAGGAGAGACAGCCACTCTACTGTGCCACTTGCTACACTCATGGCTTGGCTTTCACCTGCCAGAGTAGAGCTGACAGCTCGAGCTAAACGATAACTCTTCCACACTACTGGAACCCAAGGTGCTTCCTTGCCGTCGTGAAGGTCGGAATGGGTGAACGCAATCACATATCCTGCTTGAGTGTGAGTTCCTACATTTGCCCAAGCTGCATCACTATGACAACATATTGTTAGTTTATCAGGGGCTATGCTTGGAAACACTTTGCTAAGCTGCTTGTGTTGCTTGGCTCGACGGACTGCATTATTTGCATCTCTCAGGTTCCTAATGCATGGCTTTGGAAACGCTTGCTGGCTCAAACTAGTCTGTACGGACAAATCTGGTCTGGACTGAGATGCCAACCAGTTCAAGCTTCCATTGATTGCTCGGAGAACTTTGATCTGATTTTCATTCAGGGGCTGTTCGTTTGAAACTCCTTTGGGGATGTAAGCACTCTTTATTGATTCTGCAAAGGTCTGCATGGACATGGAAATGGACTTGGTATTGGGATCTTGATGATAAAAAGCACCGCAGAAATCTCCCGATCCCACTCTCCACTTTCGATACGGAAATCTGGCTTTCAATTGAGTGACTGTGTTCTCAAATAACGGACCCTGACCTGCTATGGCTGTATCATCCACATGCACACCCATGATTCCCACCAGTGATCCTTCTGTTGACCTCAAGTAGTAAAGACAGGAGTCGTACTTAGAACGTGTCCAACCCAAATCCGTAACCGTAGTGTCGAAAGTGCGATACCACATGACCGGGGCATCGTTCTGTCCATAGACATTTCCGAGCACCTCAATGACTGCGTCTTGTGGGATTCCAGGTACACCGCCGACTGGTTGCTTTGCATACAGCGGTCGGAAACGGCTCTCCAGCTTTCCAGACTCCAAGAAAGCACCTTTGATGTCGCCTAGCTGCATAGTCCATTTATGGCTAGCTATCATTTGCATGAGGGTATTCCGTCCCATTTGACTCAAGGTGGGTGACTGAAGAAGTCCCTCCTCAATCTTCTTGTCCAAGTCTGGATCTAGGTGACCCTGTAAACACCAGCGAGACTTAACACGGTAAGTGGACGGATCATTTGGATCGACCTGTCCATTTTCCTGGGCTGGCTTTCGAGTGATCACATACCGGCTGCCGATGAAACGATCTGGATGCTTCTTGCGAATTCTCTCAGCATCCTTGCCAAAATGAAAACGAATGGCTCCTTTCTCTATCAGAGTGTCCCATTCAACTCGTTTAGAGTCATCCACTGCTTCTTGAAGTACAGGGGCATTGCCAGTGGGGAAAAGTTCTTTAGACATCTTCTTGGCAAGATAACTGGCTATGAGAACCTCGACATCCGGATTTTCCTCCCACAGATCTACCAGCTCGTTGACTTGCTGTACAGACAGGGTTTCATGCACTTGATCTGCTTCGGCAGCACCTGGATTGGCTGACGTTGCAGTTGATCGATCAGCAGCACCAGGTGATGCTGTTCGCAGTCTACTGGCTGCAGGTTCGGCGGAGGCATTCTCAGGACTCGGTTCTAACTCCCTCTTATTGGTCTCGTACAAGACGGCTACATTTTCATCAATAAGATGGGGAATGACCTCTCTCATGACCTCCACAAAATCCTCTTGACGCATTGCAGGGGGACGGTACATGGTTGCTTCGCCCGCCTTCCCTCGAACCCGCCTACGAATAGGACCGTACTGACTGCTGGCAGACTCTGCTGGCATGCTGTCTCCGGGGGGTGCATCACTCATTGATTGACTTTCTTCTGGCTCGGGATCCTGATTCACACCTGATGATATCTCTTCGGGGGCAGCAGGGCTTTTATCTGCTACTACTTCCGAACTGGATGCATCTCCAGGTGGTGGCATTGCCTGTACATCGGGTGGTGAGGACGTGGAAACGCATGCATCTCCTTCAGCTGCAGTTGGATAGTAACTTGGAACCAAGTCCACAAACTGGTGACTGCGGAAAGTTCCTCCTTCAATCAAATCCTTGATACCCAACAGTTCAGCTTGGGGTGATGACACCAAAGTCTTTTCCTCGGTGGTTGCTGGCCTCACCTGCTCTGGTGCGCATCGGAAGATCTGCCTACGATGGGCCAGTATGAGATTCCTGCCAACCTGACCGATAACAATTGCAGTGCCATGCCACCTACCACCTTGTTGGACCTGTCCTTGTAGATACTTTTGTTGGCGCCAATAGGCCACACAATCACCTGCCTGAAAGGCCTGTGTCAAACGTGGTCTGGCAGACAAGGCACGGCGGAGAGACTTGTCGTCCTGCAGTCGAATTACGGCTTCTCTGGCTGACATGGCGAACCGCCTGGGCTTTTGCCAGTGCTGCTTCTGTCAGACCGGCTGTGGCTGGAACTACCTGCAGAGGTTCACTGAGCAAATCCCCTGGCAAGCTTGGATTCAGACCGAACACATGTTGGTGTGGAGTAAAACCATAGCTTTGAATCATGGTGTTCTTGATATGAGCATGGCGGACACATTCTTCCCATTCTTCCCTAGTATTGGGAGTGTGTTCATCTATGATTTTGGCAAGTACTCTGGCAAACCAACCTCCATGGTTCTCGGTTCTGCCCAGCTGCCAGTGCGCTTCAGCTGCGATCTGTCTCACATTGGTGCCTTCAAATTCCATTTGCGATTGCAAGTTCTCTCCCATATTGGTTGGTGCAGGATCCAGTATCAGCTCCTTCGGGGGACCCGCCCATGCAACCCAGTGGGTCGAATACAATTTCCTCAGAAGTGCCGATGTTTCGACCTCATAGAAAGGTATAACCTGTTGAAAACAACTGGCTTGATCCACTATGTTGAGAGCTTTTACTTTCTGATTGGGCTTCCAACCGGGAAGATACTTGACATCTATCCCCACCTGCTCATTGAAACTGGTCGCACGGTGAGTCTGTGCTGGAAGCGGCACATGTGGCTTGATTCTGGCCCGGCAAAAGTCACACGAGTGCTCACGAGCCAATCTCAAGGCTAATTCACTGGCCTGACCGTGCTTCAGGATTCGAATGAGATCATGAGTTGCCGGGTGACCCAAATT